ACGAAACCACAGACAGGTTACGTAACTCTGTCGCCAGAGCACTGCAGTGACGTCATATGAGGAACGATTTTCAGTTAGTTGTATAGAAAGTGTGTAGCACGCTCATCATTTTGATGATTTCTCGATATCAACGACGACATGCCGAATCGTTGCTTCATCGTCAATTGCTCCTAGGGGTCGGGCGATGGTGTCACCATGCACAGATTTCCACAGGACCCCGCAGTTCGGGCTAAATGGGTTATGTTTGTTGTGGAAGCCTGAAACGATATCTTACTTGTGTTCAGATCGCTTCACGGAAGTTAAAGAATCAAAACTACTTACTAGTTGTAGTAAAATATGTATATGATTGATGGCCATAAAGATTTTCCATGACACAACTTGTAACATAACGATTTCTTCCTCGGAAGTGAGCTTGTGGTCGAAGTAACAATAATATTGTAAGTGGTATTATATTGACACCCACCTCGCTGCCAGGAGAGAAATTGTTATGTTATACGCTATGTCATGCAAAATCCCATTGGCCATCAATAAAATACATATTTTACTACCAGTAGAAAGTAGTTTTGATTTTGTAACTCGGTGAAAAAAAACCTAAATAGCATTTATCCTCAGACTGGCGGATGTCCCGACAGGGCGCCGCCATTTTTGAAAATCGTAAAGTCTGTTAGAATTAATGAGATTATAGTTTGTTTTCATCAAGTTAGAAAATCAAATCTACTTTCTACTCGTAGTTAAATATGTATTGGAATCATAACCAAACGGATTTTGCATGACACAACTTATAACATAACGATTTCTTCCACGGAAGCGAGGTGGGGGTCGAAGTCACAATAATTCGCGATAAATTTCTTGCTACATTCACATGGTTAATGTCCACTCACCAGTATGTAGATACTAGTCAATGTGCGTCTTTATATTTGGTCTTATAATCCTAATTAGTTTATTATCATACTTGTGTGCATTTTGAAACTAAATAAAAAGCAGACGATCTGCTGATACTTATAGTGAATTTATAACAGAACTGTAATATCTAGACATTTTACAGTTTGCCAATGTGAATCATAATTCGCACACACACCCTAGTGTTGTCTGTCTCATTACACTTCACGGCGAAAACAATGATTCTGTTGAATGCTACGACAAATGATTAAAAAACAAAATGCAAATATTAAAATTAAAACAGATTAAAGTTATAGGAACAATATCAGGCCATTACCTTGTTCGAGGAAAGTATCCATCAATATCCACAAAACTGTTCCAAATGATGTGTCTTTTAACAGTATAATATACGAAAAAGTGATAAAACTTTTCAGGTATTGGTGTATAGTCTCATTGGTCACCCAAGATAGCACTCCTGGCAACTATTTGCATAATGTCCGCCTTTCTTTAAACAGTAATTTAGTAAGCCAATAATGGGCAATCAATCAATGTATTGCCGGTTATTCCTTTGAAAGAAGGACGTTGGTTTTACGCAGACACCGACACGACAGAGTGTATTTAGTATAGATTAGTAAATCTACATACATAAACACTACCTTTTGACAATTCCGCTGTGTAAGATAAAAGTAATTAATCAATCAGCGTGTTATCGGTTAATCCTTTGATCGATGTTTATAATGTTGAATATTTACTCCAGACACAAGAAATGCCAAATGGGAACCTTTGTCGGGTAATCTAAGTGTGTTTCCACTAATTATACCTGTTATAAATTCATTAACTGACCATCAAGTGAATGATGACAAATAACATGTGTAGGTTTATACCACCTAACATGGGTTACAACAAGGGAGTATTAATTGCTGTATTGCATGTGAAAACTTATGGGCCGACACTGTTTTGAGAATACAAACAGATTTTTACATGACATGATTAAATATCGAGGTAAAAAAACACAGAAATTGGATCAATTTGGATCAGTTATTATCGTCTAAGGAAACAAGTTTTAAGCAGGAGACAAAATTAAATGACAGTAGATTGTGAGAACATATAACTTTCATTTTCCACAACATTTGTCACGATTTCAGGTTTATACAAGCCTGTAAACAAGATAATTTACCCCCTAAAATGTAGATGAATTCTGCATCGGCCCTCAAAGCTATTCCTCATATGACGTCACAGAGACGCGCCGCTCTGATTGGTTGAAATTTCGTTCGCGGGTGAGAATTGTGCACTGTTGTCAAAAAGGTCGATTTAAGTCAATTAAAGGTCGATATGAGTAGTTTTAATGACGGGGTTTCATTTATAACGATGCCAGTTAGTGATTTATGTATTTGTACCCCCTAGGGTTTATGTGACCTTTAAACTGTTTCCTCGAGGTTAACACGACATAGAGTGATCAGGAAAGTGCTAGTTCGCGGCCATAGTGACCAGGAAGTTAACTGGGGATTCAAAAGTAGTATATACAATGGCGGCGAGATCTAAGGGCCTGACAAAAGCTTTATTTATGAAATAAAGCTTTACAGCGGCCTTTCTTGAAATTGATCTCGGACTATCATTGTATATACTACTCCATGGGCATATATACACGCAGGTAGGTTGACATAAGATGACATGCAGCCAACCACGTCACCGAGAGTGATCACCCGATCCATATGTCGGTTGGACGTTAAGGTTGCTAGGAACTGCAAACGGGTTTTGAAGGAATGAGTTGGGTTGGACACAATTTCAGTGACATAACACGTCAACCTTAGAAGGCCCATGTACTTAGAATGAGGTCCAATAAACCCTTTTGCTGGCAATATCGTTACATAGACGATTGAATAGGATGGTCATTTGTGGCGTGGTGGACTGGGACGTCGAAGGACTATATAAACACGTAAGTTTGAGTTATTCTGATCTCAAGCAACTATGTGAACGATTTGAGATTAACGGATTATGTGAATCTTTCGTTCGTGACGCAAAAGACTTTTCCGATTACCTATGTGGCTACTATACTTACAACAGTGTTCGTCCTAAACAGCATAAATCCGGCCGATACAGTGGCGGTGTGACTGTGTTTATCAAAGATGGTCTTGTGCAACATGGCAATGTGACTCGTATCTTTGGTGATTTCCAGGACTGTGTAGTTCTACACCTGAAAACCTCATATAGCACTATTGGGAAAGATCTAATTCTGATGTTTTTATATATATATCTCCTCAAAACTCACCTATTTATGATACAATGGAGACTGATGGGATTACTCGCCTTGGTCAATATCTTGAATCTATAAAAGACAGCTATCATGATACCTATATAATTCTTGCAGGCGATTTTAATGCCAGAATGAGCGACTTTCTTGACTTTATCCCAATGATGATCTTACTCACATCCAGGATGACTGTGTTGACTATCCAGAGGATGTATTTAATATTTATAGAAAAAGTAGAGATAGGTGTTATAACTCTTACGGTATCAAACTAGCAAATCTTTGTTGTACTTTTGGAATTCACTCACTTAATGGTAGATTATTCGAAGATGCTGATGGTAACTTTACATGTTCTACATATAACGGTACAAGCGTCGTTGATTATATCTTAGCATCTTCTGATTTATTTCAATATTTCACAGACTTTAAAATACTTGATAGAGATGACTCTTGTCATTTTCCTCTTGCTTGCACCTTGACAGTGGAAAATCTTGGTAATGTTCAATGTCCAAGCCACCGAAATAGTTGTAGCAACAAGAAATCTATGCAAACTAAATATGATCCATGGATAAAATATGTGTGGAACAGCAACTCCGTGCAGCCATTTTTAAATAAGTTTCAGGATGTCTTTCAGTTATATAGACAATCAGAAGAAAATGTAATGAATTGTGTCTCAATATTAATAAACATGTACCAGACTGCTGCCTGTGACTTGAGGAAAATTCATAAACCTAAACAATCTTTAATTAACCCAGCTGGAGACTTGCAACCACCGTGGTGGAACAAAGACTTAGAGTTTGCTAAAGGAAGGAAATATGCAGCACTGAGGCTGCACAGAACTTTGGGAAATAGTTTTGATATTTATAAACAGCTACGTAAAGAGTTTAAATCTCTCTACAATAGGAATAGACAAGAATACTTTAATCAACAAAAAATGTTACTGGTTAATTCTAGAAATAATCCCAGATCCTTTTGGAAAGTTCCCAGAAGGGGAAAAACCCCAACTCACTATCTACAAACATTAGTCAGGATGATTGGTGTGACCTCTTTGAGCACCTGCTCTTCATGCAAAATGCTACTCTTGATTATTCAACATTATATTTTGTTGACCAAAATACAGAAGTGGTCTCTGACAGTTGTATAAACAGACCCTTCTCAGAGGAGGAAGTACTCTTGGGGCTAAAGAATCTTAAACTCAATAAGTCACCCGGACCAGATGGTTTGCAAAGTGAATTACTTAAAGCAACTAAAAATTACTTAACACCTATCCTAACAAGAATATTCAACTCTTTGTTGAACAATGGAACATTCCCCAAACAGTGGGGCACTAGTATAATCTGTCCCATTCACAAATCTAACAGTATCCATGTGACGGATAACTATAGAGGAATATCTCTTATTGACTCATTCTGTAAAGTGCTTTGTGCTATTCTTAAAAGTAGACTTCAACGCTGGTGTGATATAAACTCTGTCTTGTCTGAAACCCAGGCCGGTTTTCGGCCAAACTACTCAACGGTGGACCAGATATTCTGTTTACAAGCGATGATACAAAAGTATTTATCAAAAAAGGGTGGTAGAGTGTACTGTATATTTGTAGACTTTAAAAAAGCCTTTGATAGTGTTGACCATGAAGTATTACTTAAAAGTCTAATCAACATGGGAATCAAAGGGAAATTTCTTAATCTAATTGTCTCTATGTATTCAAATCTATCTGCTTGTGTTAGGACAGGTCAGGGCCTATCCAGGCATTTCAAGTGTAATATCGGTACCCGTCAGGGTTGTATCTTGAGTCCGTTGCTTTTTGTAATCTTTATAAATCAGTTATCTCAAATGTTTGATTGCAAGGGTGGTAATGGTATCTTTATTCCAAATGAATTCCCCAGTGTTGCAGCCCTCCTGTTTGCAGATGATGTGTCGTGTTTATCTGACACAGCTGTACAGTTGCAGAGGAAGATAAATGTGCTCGAGCAATTTTGTAATGATACAGGCATGAGTATAAACTTGAGTAAAACAAAAATTATGGTTTTTCGTAAAGGTGGTCCTCTACGCCACTATGAGAAATGTTTTTTTAAGGGCAGGAAAAGAGAAATAGTAAATGAATATCGATACCTAGGTGTTGTGTTTACACCATCTCTCTCATGGACTAAGGCTCAGTGCTGTCTTTCTGCTCAAGCACAAAAAGCTTGTATGTCATTGTATAACTATCAAAATAAATTTGGAGCAATTTCAAGTTTAGATATATTCAAAAATGTTGATGCAGCTATTTGTCCTATCCTTTCTTATGGAGCAGAGATCTGGGGCACATCATACTGTAGACAGATAGAAAGTTTGCAAATATACTTCTGTAAACGGTTTTTGAAAGTTAGTAAATATACCAGCAATGTTATGGTGCTGGGTGAATGTGGCAGAGTTCCCCTACAATATCAGTATATGTCTAGATGTTTCACAGTATATGTGTAGATTGCTTCAGTTAAATACTCACAGGTTGCCATGTCAGTGTTATCAAATGCTTATGTTATTGGATAAAGCTGGTAGAAATACTTGGGCCACATCTGTTGAAAACATTCTGTATCAGTTTGGTTTTGGTATTGTGTGGTTATCCCAAGATGTAGGTAATGTAAATTTATTTATGTTTACTTTCAAACAAAGGTTGTATGACAGTCTATGTCAAGACTGGCATTCTTTAATATCCAATTCATCAAAGTGTAATGTATATAGTAAATTTAAGTCATTGCTGAATGTAGAAAGATACTTAAGCGTAGATATCCCATATTATTACAAGCATGTCATTTCCCAATTTAGGTGTAATAATTTCCGTTTAGCGGTTGAGTTAGGTAGGCACAAAAACATCAATTATGCTGACAGGATTTGTACTTATTGTTGTACTAAAGGCTTACATTTAGTGGAGGATGAATTCCATGTTCTCTTAATATGTGAGAGATATGAAGATATTAGACAAGAATGCCTTCCTTCATGTACACTTGCTAATCGCAGTTTTGATACCTTTATTGGGATAATCTCTTGTAACAACACACACACTTTATCTTGTCTTGGACGTTTCCTCCGTCATCTCAGAGAAAGTAAGAAGCAAACCTGAAATTACAATCTGTAACTCACTATAGTCACAGTACTAATACGTAACCATGTACAATATGATGTTACCATTGTACTTGCATTTCTGTATCAATATCTTAATATATGAGAGATATGAAGATATTAGACATATACACTTTTAACCAGTCTTGAAAATTTTAGAATGCTAACTTCTTGTAATAACATAAACACATTAACTTGCCTCATACGTTTCTTCTGTCATAGAAAGAAAGCAACAAGTAAATCTGATATTAAAATGTTTTATTTATTTTATTCACAGAACCAATAGTTAAGCATTTACAACACGATGTTACCTGTTTGCCCGCACTTGTATCAATATGTTGACATATGAGAGACATGTAAGTTTTTGACAAGAATGCCTTCTTTCCTGTACACCTGTTACTGCAGTCTTGATAATTTTGTCAGGCTAATCCATATTAACTATTGTCTTGAGAATTTTATTATGCTAAGTTTTTGTACCAACATAAATACATTAAATTGCCTTGTACGTTTCCTCTGTCATATAAAGAAAGTAATAAGTAAATCTGATATTAAAATGTGTAATTCAACATAACGCATAATAATTTGTCTTGGACGTCTCCCTTGTCACATAAAGTAGGTAAAAAGGAAATCTGATATCATAATGTCTTATCCATTATATACATGGTATCTAATACACTCGCATGTATAATGCGATGTACTAATGTGTCTGCATTTTGTATTATGGGCCTTTGGCCTTGAACTACAGAAATAAATCTGTCTGTCTATCTGTCTGTCTGACGAAACACTTTGCCTTCCTTCACGAAGTGGCCCAATCCATAATCAGTCATCTAATGAGATGTTGTGTAACTGTTCCCTATCCATGACAACATATATTTGACTAGCATTTCAATGGCTTTACCAAACACCTTGTTTTAATTCAGTAAACCTGTTTATCCAGAACATTTCCGCGCCTTGACATTTCCAGGCCAAGGATACTGCTCTTTTCAGAGGTAGATACACAAGAAGTAGAGATGAATTTCTTTTTCGAAAAATATAATTAAACCTGTCCCTGGCTCGGTTTCACACCCCTCAGTCCCATGTTAAGGTATATGAGGTACGATAGATATAGTTGGTGTTGTGAGTTGTGATAGAAGGTCCTGTGATGCTCTTGACCCATCCTCGAGGTCGTGGTCCTTGTTCAGTTTCACAAAGCAAGCCCACCCCCGCTGTCCCATGTTAAAGTATGAGTTAAGACAGATCTACTTCATTTTGTGTTGTGTTGCAGGGTATTGTCCTGCTAATGTCCTGTCCACGAGGCCCTGTGTTAACAGGACAAAGGCCCTCATGTGTATTGTGTCTATAGCAGTTGATTCCAGATCAGTGCAAGACATGGCCGTCCAAAAGTGGTGCCTGCTTTGTATGGACAGCTCAATTAAGGGCTGCTGTGTGTCACGCGAGGCAGATGATTCCCAAACTGACCCATGTATCGATCCGACTCACCATCAGCCATTCATGTTATATTCTCACTGGTGCCATCTACACCGGAAGTCCTGGACGAACAATGACCATTTGAAAACAACACGTGACAAGTGAAGAGAAGACCAAGATTGACTCTGTAATCTGCATGTTCCTCCAATGTCTGATATTTGTCATTTTTGCGACAGACCAGCTTATATAACTGTCTCTTTTGTGCCTGCTTGGCTTGACGTTTGATGATGTGTCTGTCAGTGTTCCGTCTGCATTTTCTAAGGGGATTTAGTTAGGAGATTTAAAACAAATGGATATGCCTAACCACGAATATATAATGGGATTGACTTTTTTAATCTTTCGGTAATGAAAAAATACATTAATATATAAAGTATTTTTAGTTTTATTTCTAAAATTCTACCTCATTATACAGTTTGAGCATCCAACCCTAGGTTCCGTTTCCCAATATCTACCAATGTAGGATGCGATTGCAAGGTCACAGTATCTTTAGACTCCATAGGATCTGAGGGGCGGCCTGGTGGTTAAAGCGTCTCTCGACAATTCCAAGCCTTCGTTCAATTCCTCATGTGAGTACAATGTATGAAGAATATTCTGATGTCCCCGTCGTGATACTGCTTGAACATTGCGATAGGTGGCGTAAAACATTACTCAGTCACTCGTTCTGGTCGTAATCAGTTATCTGGTTAAAACATAAAACTTAATACATCATTGGAAATGTACATGTAGGAACATATATACTCTTGTTATTGTTAGATGACACGTTGTCATAACATTGACATCGCCAGCCTTCACATTGCACCCTCTACAACAACCTACCAGACTCGACACAACTTCGTTGAATGCTCGACTTCACGTCTACAAATCGCTAATGCAGGGTCGAGTGATATAAATATTCAGCCTTGCACTACCGGCCGACATTTCAGCATCCATGGCATCGGCCCGTTCGTATTGAGGCTGCTGCTCTTTGGCCCACAATAAAACACGCTTGCCTCACAGCACTGTATCCGACAAAATTAGTGATGTTATGCTAATCAATTCAGTCAAAGTTGAAGGTCGTTGTGTATGGAGTCGATGGAAACAGGTTGGTGGCCTCGCGTCGACACAGCGCAGAGTGCCAACAGATCCCTACACAAAAAGGTTAGTTTGTTGTTCAGTGTCCATATCACTCGTACTGTTTTTATCCCTCCGCGACACAATATAGTCTGTAGCTGAAACAGCCTCCCCTGCACAGAACGCATCGGCATTTCGCCGTCCGATAGTGTTTTGATCAATAATGGCTATGCTGATATCACGCCTCGTGACCAACATAGACGTTAGCGGACATTTTACTGTTGTTTTTCATCGGTTGGTATGGTATAATAATCTACACTGAGCTTGGTACACAAGACAATGGTATAGACACGTATACATAATACACGTTACACTCTGACATCTGTTGTTTATGATTGTGTGACGATGTCTACCGAAACAATAGCTGTAACAGTAGGTGGTGATGTGTGTTCAGAAATAGAACAGTTATAGTAGAACATCGATTGTTACTGACTATTACGTCATGATCACAGTGTCAGGCTGATCTACTGTCATGCATTACAGACTATTACGTCATGCTTACAGTGTCAGGCTGATCTACTGTCATGCATTACTGACATGATGTCATGGCAGGCCTACTGTAAATTACGTCATGCTTACAGTGTCCATCTACTGTCATGCGCATTACTGACTATCACGTCATCTTATTCCAAGGGATGGGTGAGGAGGTCATTTGTAAGAGTGTTGGCTTGGACAACATACGTCGAGGTTCGAATCTCAGTTCGGTTAAGATGAGTTCCACCCTGCTATAATTCACATACTTTGACATAATTATACTGACAGTAAGCATAGATTTATGATGGTGGAATGGTCTCTTGAGAGTGCTGACAGGAACCTATCGCCTTATACAATGGGTGTGAGGTCAACGGTAACGGATTTGGCTTGTACAGCATGGTCAAGGTTCGAGTCTGCCAGTGGTCTTAATCTACCTTTACACTTATCCTAGAGTTAAACATTATATCAACAGAATCAGTATCTTGAATTATGACAGTCTTACAAAATACCAACAAAGGATCCCAGGAACAGAAGTAGCTCAGTGACTAGCAAACACTGGTTTACCCGATTGGTAGCCATGCAGATACCAAGGTGTCACGATTCATGTCTCCGATTCGGGTTCCTGGCTTTGAATCATGCAGCAGAATGTCAAGAAGATAACGTTTAGTTCCTCAGATACCTGTCCGAGAGAAGCAAGCGTGACAGTAAAACGTTAGTCCATGTTCCATGTTGTCAAGGACGCGTCTATATGTGTGTCTGTAACAGACACTACTGCACAACAGTGGTCGATATTATAAGTTGTTCACTAGTCACGACGGGAACATGGGTTGATGTACCCTCCGTGTTTATGTATATTTATCTTACCGAACACCTCAATGTTAAGTTTGAACTGTTTGAAGCACGGGTATTGGATCATAATGAGTACCGGAGTTAAGCAACAGCCCAAACACTACTAAAACGAAGTACTAAACGAATTTCCACAGTACGACACTTCCAGCGAGTAACATAGCAAATGTTACTTGCTTGTAAGCGGGATACATTGATTGGCTCAGCCAATCAGAAAAGGACATTTATGAGTGAGGTAAGATAATACTAACTGTCGTTACCTTGACGATTAATCGGGAAACAGTAACGGGGTGTACATGTTGATTGCCATTGATGAGAGAATACACATTTGACTCCGCTAATAGGAGTTAGGTTGTATTGAAGAGGATTTTCCTCAAGTTGTTGACTCATGCAAGAACACTATTTCATTATACATGTAATATCATTTATGCGTCATTCACGAGGCACTGTTAATATGTATGACCTTAACATGTGTAAAGACCGGAAATAATATGTAACTATGCAACCTAGATATCTATTACATCTGTATATTATCACATACATAATTTACGCACTGTCTCATGCACTTACCATGCATTCCCACAATAAGGAAATCGAGATAACGTCATTTACAACGAATGCACAGTGCGATTGGCAAGTCCAGGCGATTCTTCAATCGATACGTGAAGATGGTCAAAACTGATAGCCCCGATGGAGTCGCAGTGGCAATCTTTTGGAAATACCAAGAAATGATTTATTTACAACACACAGTTCGGGATCTATAGTACATGGTAGGGAGGGCCCAGCACAGTTCAAGGTATAAGGTTCAAGTCAACTTAATCCATGCCTATATTATGAAATTCTTATATAGTCGGCCCCTATCGTGACATACACATAGCAACACCGTAGGTACAGTAGTTGGTCATAAGTGAGTCATCATAGATTTGCATGTTAGAGAGATGATCGTTTAGATTAACGTGTACAGATTTGTCAGTTTCTAGGATGTAAACAAGGCTGTCTGTATTAGATATATACATATATATTATATATATATATATATATCTATCTATATATATATATATCATATTTTATGACAAGGATATGTCAAACGATGTAACATTAGATTTTGTAATCACGTGTGGTTGGAACTTAATTAAGAACCCAATGTATATTTGCAATGATAGGCTTTCTGTACGTACTAAAACTTCTCGTGGTGACTACCATGGAAGAACATGAGACTTTCTGACCCGTATGATCCTTTGACAAAATGATTCGAATCCATGTTGATCTTATGATGGAAATTGCTCATTTTTTAAAACAAACCCCACTGATTTCATACAAAACTATGTCGGTACAAGTATGACCCTAGTTCATATGAATAAACTCCGACCAGACTTGTCTGCAGCATCTAATGTTACATCGTTTGACATTTCCTTATCTTTAAATACCGTGTACTATCACGTGACAATACCTCGACATAACGACATGTAAATAGTGACTGAATCTGGTAACAAGCGATGCCAGGCTTTAGAGGTATTTATTACATGTCTCACGACATCATCAACAATCTACCTTCAGGCATCCAGCCTCTCTATCAGCCTGAACATATTTAGAACAATCGATCCACATAGGTTTGGAAACAATGCTCCTGTGTCCAGAACCACAAAGCACAATTAGAAAAACATGACGTGTTATAGCATCGATTTAACATATCCCCAGTAAGGGTATTGATATTTCTCGCAGAAACATTTTAATATATATATAAATGTCTCACGTGAAGTGCAATGACTTTATGGCCATTCATGGTATTTCTGGACATATTTTGTTAACCGATTTTAAGATATAATCAGCTCAGAACCTTCTTGGACCCGCTTTCTCGTAAATATCCTTACCAAAACTTCGCACCTTACTATTTTATAATGCATCTCCAAGAACGGAGTTTCGATTGGCAACTCGAGTGCCTTCGATCGTTCCACATCTGGCACACAAATAACTTGTTCATGGCACTGATGTCACTAACATTATGGAACTAACATGACCGTAATTCTCAGTCTGACTTGATGGAATCCCCCGAGGTCTGTTAAGGGGGGTATATTCAGGTCTCGTCTCACTGTGGTTCCACCTGCCAATTACCCCTCCCATCAACGCCTTACATATCAATTTGCCCCAAAGAGGCCCCGGAGGTTCTATATGAGGCGGCCATTTTGTTTTCCTTCTCCCATGTGCCAATCAGTGCAACGAATGCATGCCGGAGTAATTCTGACTGGCAGTTCCTGTCGTCAGTGTAATTGTCTGTTTGCATGTTTGTCAATACATCTTACTCCATCTTGCAAAAACAAATCCAAATGTTTTGCTTGTCCCAATCCTCAACGATCGTCCTGATTTACTGTGTTTTTTAATGAGGAATTGACAGCATGGCGGTTTCACGAATTCCCATGTCTATTCGCCCTCGATTATCCACTGTATCACATCTCCACACTATAAACTGAGATATAATAAGCTGGATAAACGAGGATACAGGCTATGGGCAGACATAGAAAATAGAGCAGCACTGGAAGAAGCAATAAAATGAATAACTCAGTATTAACATTCTTATTGATGATGCAAACATATATATTTGAACAAACAAAAGGAAAAGTTAGGTCTTCAAAATTGCAATATTGTATTTTCTTGAAAATATTGGACAGGTTTATGTGTAACGCAAGCAAATATATCATCAGCATGGTGATTCGGTTGGTCGTGGCCGTCTGTCTCTGATCAGTTCATTAAGTAATTGGGTATTGTGATGACAGGTATAGGTTTCAGTACCCACGAAGTGCCTGTCTACTTATTGCTCACTCTGGTTCTGTTACTCCATGCCCGGAAACGGAAGGTCGGTGATACGATCTCCTCACCGCGTCATGCAATAGGAGTTGAATGATACTTACAGTTGTCACCCTGTGTGGAGCTGAGCATTAAGGTGATTAAAACATAAGTGTTAGGCTCTGAGTCAATATTCTCTGTCTGGGTAGGGTATCAATGTCTATCTGCGGAATGGTATCTCAGCTGGTTAGCTCTAAACAACTGGCATTCGTCAAGACTAGTACAAGCACACACACACACACACACACACACACACACGCACGCACGCACGCACACACGCACGCACGCACGCACGCACGCACGCGCGTTGCTGTATAAGTGTAATAAAAGTGAACAACCTCAAGTACCACTCATCTCTTCCCATATGTATGCCCCCATACAGCTGAAACAAGTATATAGTCTAACAAATTACTGTAATTATTTTAGAAACGAGAAAATCAAAATCTTTACAAAGAGTTGTTGGTCGTTAAAGTTTATGGCTATCATAATTTATATTGCACATAATTTCAAAACGTGTTAATCGTGTCTGAAATCGGTTTAAGCGTTCGTTCGTCACGCCGAAGACCCGGGTTCGATTCCCCACATGGGTACAATGTGTGAAGCCCATTTCTGGTGTTCCCCGCCGTGATATTGCTGGAATATTGCTAACAACGGCGTAAAACTATACTCACACACTCACTGTTTACAGTCATGAACAGGCGATTCCAGTGGATTGTCTCCCTTTGTTTACGGGAGCTCTGCATGCATACATACACATACCAACTTCATACTTCATGTATGCATCAAAGGAACAAAGATGCTAGCTACATCTACATCACAAACATTGTGTAAGTGTTGATAATGTTTGGTCCCTTGCAATCTGACCT